TAAAGTAAAATGTTATATTTTAAACGTCTCCCGTATGGAGTTGACAAAATGGAAAAAATCTTTATTTTTATTTTAAGGAAAAAGTCATTATAAAAAAATTCTGTTTGACGAAAAAATAGGTATACTATATAGAAATGTGATAGAAACCCACCGTTCAATGCCCGGAGTGCCTCGTCAGCAAAGTCAGCGCTTTGCACCTTGGCGACAATGAACCCGAGATTATAAATACCATGTCAACGTGGGAATCAACGTTCTTTTTATTTTAATCACTTACGAATAACATTGTTAATTAAAGATCCATTTTTGTATATTTTAAATAAATAAAGTTTGCTTTTTTTGAAAAACTAAAGTGTTGTTAACTTAACTATATTAATATGTTAGGTCAGGTGTACATGGTCTTAATAAATTAAGAAACTTAAAATTGACAGAAGGAAAAAATCTGTATTACCTTATTGATTTTACGAAGAAAAGTCACAGTTTTCCTTTCGGTTTTCCTTCATAACTTTAAAAGGAAACTTTTTCTTGTAATTTTCTTCAATAAGCAGAATTTTTTGTATGGAATACTTTTTTTTTCTGAAAAAAAAAAATGAATATTAATCGTAATTGTGTTATTCCCAAATATTTCAATATGTAATTTTAAACTTCGTTTAACACAACGGTGGAATCGGTCCTAAGTTATATTTAAGGCTGCTCATATATTTCACTTTAAAAATATTAATAGAAATTTTAAGACCATCAATAAAAACAAGCAAATTATTTGGCGCAATCTGTGAAGCTTTTTTGTTTTAATACGATCCTGCCTATCAATACCTTATTTTATTACAAAATTTTTAAATACGCTTTAATCCGACCCTGACTAAGACCCCCGAATGGCGTCGTCAAGGTCAAATTTTCTTAGTATAATATTTGTATGCGATCAGCGGAGAGTGGGCCTGCCGATTGTTTTTTATGCCATGCAGGGGAACATACTGTATAATATACTTATTTATCTAAACTGTTGGTCCAGTTAAACATAACCTAACCTTACTTGTTAATTCTTCATGCATGCTATTGAATGCAAGGCAGATGTAATAAAATTACCTTAACCAGTAAAAAAAATACTTCTTTCTAATTAATTATAACAACCATTAGACAATAAAAACCAAACCGAATCACCAACAATAATAATCACACGAAATAAGTAGGTATATGAAGATATAGGTAAAATAACATCCATCTTAATTATAATAAAAGAAGGTACCTATCGTAAAAACGAAATAAATTTCTAGTTGTGAATTACCAAAAAAGAACACGGATTTTAACGTATATTGCATACAACCTACTTAACAATCTTAATTACGTGAATTTAACCATATAGTATTATTTAACTAAAGTCTATCAACCTTTTACATTAATAAATGTAGGTTTTAAAGCTTACTTACCTCATTTTAATCCAAAATTATCAATGAAACTCATACACACGACACGCACACACAAAACGAAAACAAACTACAAAATGGCCGATGGCACCTGTGAGGGCAGAAAATATCCGCGCCTGCGCTCGCATTCATTGCCAATATTATTTATCTAGCGGATATCTGTGGGATATTGAATACAACTCACCAATATTAAATTTCTCTAAACCATACCTACATGATTTCTTAGTTATCACATGGCGTAATATTTAAGTAATTTAATAATCATTAAATCAATTCACATATTTTCCGATATTTAGGTACATATTATCCATAAATTACATCTAGTGGATATCCACCATGGTTTGCGTTCGCGCCTAGACTTTGATATATTTAGTGGATATCCATGGGATATTGAATATACCTTGAAAAAAAATTAATTTTAAATATCTAAACGGTACTATTAGCCACAATAGCGTAATTTTTTTAATAATTTGTTATATAATTACTATTAATTATGGACATTTGCATGTCTCTAAATTACATCTCATGGATATGAAATAGATATCCATCATGGACTGGACATTCAGTGGATATTGGGATGTCCAGTAGTTATCCAAAGGATTTGGTGTGCTGTCTGGGTGGTAAGTATCTACCTATTTTATAGAAATTTTATGCGCACCCTATTTATCTTTCATGAAATTTGATAACTGTGAATTTTGTTTTTCGTAATAAAAACAAATTTCATTAGGAATAAATTTTTTGTAGAAATGTATTTTGAAAACTGAAAATATGTCTGTGGATTCACAAACTACCTGTAGAGACGGCGACACTGAACCTAAAAGCTGGAACTGAATTCAAAATTCGCCAACTGCACAATATTTATTGTTTGCCATTCTCCAATCTATTTTTAGATGAAAGAATTTCGAGTGATATTTATTGGTTTAGGCAACTGAACATACTTATCGCGACTGGTAGGCCATCGGGCGAGAAAATAAAAATCATGTATCCAAACGTAAAAGAGGACCGTTGGGGGCAGCACCTCCCGGTGTCCTCTGAGACTTTTAAGCAGGGGCTGTTAATTCAAATGGAAAAACCAATGAACTGGAGTGGGGTAGAAAGCCAATGTGCATATTGTATCAGTAGAACACAAGATGCGACTCTATGGGCGCAGCCATTTTTATTTCTCATCTCACTCGGGAGTATTTATAATAACCATTTTCTGTTTCACATTGTTATTGTTCAATCCACAAGTTGGTGGATCAGACAATAACAAAGTGAAATGGAAAATGGTTGTTATAAATACTCCCGAGTGAGATGAAAAATAACCTGTCTTCGCCCATAGAGTCGCATCTCAAGCCTATTGACAAGCATTCTACCCCACTCGAGTTCATTGGGAAAAACATGAGGAAGGTAATTTAGTACCACTGCAATTAACGGGATGGCGCTCGTATCGAAATGTCATGTCAGTTGTCAGCTCGTCAAAATTTCAAACTTAGAGAAATTAAAATGGCTATTGCATTTGAATGTGTATTGAATTTTGATTCATCTACAATCTAGATTTATTTTTCAACACCTTCCAATTTTAAGCATATTTTCAAAAGATGGGAAGAAGGATTTCAGCAACAAACAATAAAGCACTCCCAGATATTGGTAGTGATGCAATTTATATCAAATTAAATATGCAGTCGTCATATTAAGGATAACCAAATAATTTGTAATGTCTTAAGAAAAATGCACCATCACTGTTTGGCACCAACGGTAAGTAATATTTGCATACTTGTTCTTGATTCAGTGTTAAAATAATTGGTGTCTTATTTAAATTTCTTTTTGTTTTTAGTTTTTAAATGATCATTGTTGTAAAGAAAATGTTGGCCCTTCAAAATACCCAGTCGCTCGATGAAATACTTGAGCCTCAGCCATCAATATCAAAAATGCCATTGACATCAAACAAGAAAACACCCTAAAATCTTTAAGGGTCCAAACCTGTGTAAGTTTAATTTATGCTCAAAAGTTAAATTCATTTATCACAGTGCCCACATGATGAATAAAAATTTGATAACTACTAAATGAATCAAGAAAACAATTATCGGATGAAGAAATTCTCCTCAACCTAACTAGTCAACTCAATAACCGTATGGCAAATTTTATTCACACTCAAATTTGCCTCGATAGTAAAAAAGGACGATGCTTCAACTTCAATTTTTTCAAACTTATTTGCCACTCCAAGTCGCCAAACTTTTATAAAGGTCTTGAGCACTTATATATGCTGATTTTGTTACAGAAAACATTTTTGATAGGTTTGTTTTATAAATATTTAATTATTTAAATGGTGTAAATGCATATTTGTTTGAGTATTTCCATGTTTAAATACACAAATTATATGATGCGGCGTTAATTTACTGTAATAAAAAAAAAATAAAATAAATTGCATTTTATTTCAAGTTTGAAATTAATGCAAAAATATAATGAAGTAAAATCAAACAAAGATATAAATTGGCAAAATATTTGACTAGTTTCAAATCACAAAACAGTCAATATGGTTGTTTTATGATTTGAAACTAGTCAAATATTTTTCCAATTTTTTTGCTTTATTTGATTTTTTTCATTACATTTTTGCGCTACTACAAAGTTAAATTTCAAAAAGCCCGCTCGTTGCGGCCATATTGAATTTTAGTACCAATCCAATTTGATAGATGGCGGCACATCAACTCGGAATTTTACCATTGAGTTTCCCATCTATTCACATTAGTAATCTATGCTTTTAAGCAATGTTCAATTTTAGAAAAAACTACTTACTCTTTCAAAAATGGTAAACAGCAAGTTGATCAGTGGCAAATGAAGAATGGCGGGTGATAACATATATACGTGTACAACTTTTTTATATTTTTTTTTATTTTATTTTTTTATGTTTATAAAAAATAGTTATCATGCGCCAATCTAAGATACATAAGAAGCTCAGATACAAAAAAGATTTTTTTTTGGAGAGTATTAAGCCCACAATTTGAACATTAAAATTTCCAATATGGCGGACGAGTATAGAACCCTCTTAATTATTTAGAACTAACGAAGGGAATATTCAACAAATTTTGAATTTTTTCGGAATTTTTTCAAGGTAAGAATATCTACTTTTACGGGAACTTCAAATTTGTTCAGCTTGGAGAATATAATATGTATCTTTTTTTTTAAATCTTTTAGATGGTTTTAATATTTTCAATTTGCCTATTCAAGAATAATGTCACATTAGGATTGATAAATTAAAGAAATAATTTCTCTTTTATTCCTTCTTTTTACAATTTTTCAAACAAAATTATTTCTTATGGAATACCACAACACCTTCACAGACTGGTCGATATTAAAGCACCTTTGCTCTCACGCACATTTTTTGTACATTTCAACCACCTATTTCCAGCCAATTTTAACCCCCATAACTTTTTAGATTTAACTTGCATGCACTTAGCTTTTTTCAAATTCTAGAGACAATGAACTGTCGCTCGTATTTGTGACACTGGCTTTGAGATTTATTTCTATTTCATTTTACGTCTTGGTCGCATTTGAGTTGGAACTATTTCCTTATTTAAAAATAAAATTAATATTAATATATACCTGACTGGATCATTCCACATCAGTTCCCAAGCTAGAGAACTTTGAGCGTCTGGTTGGGTTAACGGCACTGGTATATCGTTTATGGCAGATATTACAGGACATAACCATGGTGGAGGAACGCCTCCATGACAACAGAAAATCTATAACAAAAACACTATTTAATTATACCATAAGGATCAGAAGCTTTCTCAAAAGTCTTTTTTTAAACATAAAATAAACTAGATATAATTACCTTTCCGTCAACAGTAGCAGCAATTGGCATATGATCAAAAGCATTGTTAAGTGTATTCCAAACTTCAACACCAATTTTCTCACCAAACTTAAGAATGCATTCTCTAAAATCAAAAACAAAATACTAGAAATAAAGTGTTCTATACATTTTTGTGGCATTCTTTGTAATTACTTTTGGAATGTGAACATTTTTTGAACTTCTCGTATTTCATGATTTCCTCTCAACAAGTTTACTTTTTTAGGACTTTGTAATTTGTAGGAGAGCAAGTAAGAAATTACTTCTATGCTGTACGCGCCTCTATCTACATAATCACCCAAAAAAAGTAGAGTACAAGGACTTAATCCAGGTCCAATATGCCAAAGAACTTTTTCAAAATATAGAAGATCTGCAATGTTTCCGTGAAAATCACCTAAAAAACAAGTTCAATTGTGCTATATGTTGTCCTACATTCCAATTTTACCTACATTTTTAATGATTGTTTTCTATGAGTTCCTAATTGGAAAGTTCTCAAGTCTTGTTTCTTACCCATAATATAAACCGGAGATCTAAGTTCTAGCAATCTAGGTTCAACTTTGAATATGTCTTTAACTTGGCCCGCAACATTCATTAGATTCCGAGAAAATTGTGCTGGGTCCAATTGACCCCATGTGTAACTACCACCTGGAACGTTTATTTTATTGATAGACGTGAGATATCTCAGACTTTTCAAAACTTCATTGGAAATAGATCTCTGACTAAAAATATCCATTGAGTTTCTGCGAGCTTGTTCATTAACTGGTTGCTTCAATGTTGTGGTAGAAACGGCATCTAAAAGTTATAATACACTTTAGATTATAGACACAACAGATGAAGCATTTCATTCATAACGTATCATTTGTTTGGTCCCAATCATTGGAAAAGATAAAGAAGATATTTTATGCGTATTGGAAGAAGACAGACTGTAATACTAGAACTCGTCTGGCAACGCTGCTGTTACATACAACTAGTGGCTTATCTTATTAAAGATAAAATCATAACTCTTCGATTTTTGTGCGAAAAAGATTATTAATTTGCAGTAAATACTAATTTTGTGTAAGTTAAAATAAATCACGAAATACTAACCTATATGGTGTGCAATAAACTTTAAAACCTGTTGGATTTGGAATGAGGGTATGCAGTTGAGTGGAATGTAGGTAAAAAACTTTTTGCAGCCGTCCCGAAAATAGAACTTTCGGTATGATTTATTAAATCGAAAGTGAAACTTTACACAAATCGTACCGAAAGTAGCTATTTTCGGAATGTTTTTTTTTTTTACTTTTGGGACGATTTTTTTACTTTCGAAATAATTTTCAAAATCTATGTAGGCGGCCTTAGTAATGACATTTACGGAATTTTTATTATAACATCGCTTGTCAAAATAAATTTGTTGATAGTTTCACTGTATTTCCAATTTTCCGATCCAGAAATGGAAATCGACAACGAAAGTGACGAGGTAATAATTATTTCACATGAAATCAGTGAAGCTGCTAAAGTCGCTACTTATGAGTTGTTGCCGGTAAAGTCAAGAGAGAGGTATGAAATGGTCTATAATTTGTTCCAAAAATGGCGAGATGATAAAAATGTGTGTATTATAAATGAAAAAGTCATTCTTGCGTGTTTATTAGAAAAATCTAAAATCTTAAAATCGTCAAGCCTCTGGAACAATTACTCGAAGCTTAAGTCCACTATTAATATTAAAAACAATATCGATATAAGCCGATACCCCAAAGTTATCGCTTCTCTTAAAAGGAAATCCGTTGGATACAAAGCAAAGAAATCAACAGTTTTAAATAAAGAAGAAATAGATAAATTTTTATCAGACGCTGATAATAATATTTACTTGGCGATAAAGGTAAAAATTAAGTCAAATTTTTTCTTCTTTCTCTTGATCAATTTGTGTCTACTTATATTTCAGGTTGCATTAATAATTGGGTTGGTAGGTGCTTGTCGGCGTGAGGAATTTTGCAAAATGAGCCTAGATGATATAGAGGATAAAGAAACAATGTTAGTCATAAAAATTCCTAATTCTTAAACAAATATTGAAAGAACCTTTATCGTCATTGGAGAAGATAATATTTCTTTATACAGAAGATATTTGTTATTACGTCAACCCAACACACCACATCGTAGATTATTTGTATTTTACAAAAACGGCAAATGTACTGTACAACCCATTGGTATTCACAGTTTTGAAAATATTGCCTCCAAAATTGCCGAATATCTTAAATTGCCACACCCCAAAGAATACACCGGCCACTGTTTACGAAGAAGTTTAGCCACTTTATTAGTTGATGGCGGTGACAGTATCACTAATTTAAAGAGACACGGAGGGTTCAAATCGACGAATGTGGCAGAAGGATACCTAGAAAATTCTTTAAGAAACAAACTTGACATAGCCTCCAAGATTCAAAATGGCCGTAACGAAATTAATATCTCTAAAGCTAGTACAAGTACTGCAACGTCTAATACTAATTTCAACACAGCCATTTCTGCTAATATTCCTAATACTATTAATATAAGTAATTGTTATAATTGTACATTTAATGTTCATAAGTAATATTTATAGTATCTATCCCTATTAATTTTTAATATTTTATCTAATAAACGGCTGCAGAAAAAATATTGTACGTAACAATCAAAATTCAGAGTTTTAAGACTAATAAATTTATAAAAGTTAATAAATCAATAAATTTACTATATATACAAGGCGGGAATTTTAAATGAAACGCTATTTATAGCGGATCTGCCGATAAGAATTTTGTAAAATCCGAAGAAACGAAGAACTGTACAACAATGAACCTGCTTTGTACTATTGTATTTATACATCTTATTCTATTTTTTTCTTGAAATATCTAACTTTTTTGTGGTCTCATAATGAATGCGAATATTGAAATAATGTTTCAATATCAGCTTCATCAAATCTAGTGCGTGATTTTCAAAAATAGTGCCATCAAAAAAGTGATCTCCAAAAAAATTGAATATGTTAGATTCTAAGGTTTTTACAGTATGTATTTAAAATTAATATATCCAAAACCCTCAAAAATGCTCCGAGCATAACACTATTTTTCGGTTACCTTCATTTTCTTCAAGTCCTACAAATGATAGCACTTGGCAATGCAAAGGCCATAAATTTTAAATAAAAAAAAAATGATAGCAAAATATTACTTGTATGCCTATCAGTTGGGAATCTAAAAAGCAAGCATAAGCATATTTATTTTACTACTAAAGTCCAGACTAAAGTGTTTCCATCAATAACTTTTTTAAATTAATAAAGTTGAAATATCAAAGGAAATAAATAATAGTAAAACAAAGGTAGATTTATGGTGCGTTTGAATACCCACATCGGATGCATCTCAGATGTAAATCTTTGATCACGATATTCAATATACGTAAATGTAGTAGGACAGATGTGTCCGATGTGGATAAACAAACGCTAGATATGTAAAAAATGCATAGGATATGGATGTTTAAACGCAGAAAATACATGTGATGTTTCGGCAAAAATCATTAAATCTATTTAGCAGGCGTGTTATATAATTCCTACATTTATAACATTCCTCATATTATTGACTGTATTTTTGTATATACCCTTGTATTAGTTATCTGTCAGTAGTTGTCAATTTAAATCTGTTACGTTTGAATTTAGTGAATAAAAACCTACAGTTTGAAAGGTTTTCATTACAAGGCGTATGTATGTAAAAACGATAGGTACAAAAATGCCTTGCATAATAATCTAAAAATAGGGGCTCCTAAAATATCAAGTCTGCTGAAAGTATTTAAAATAGCTCAATATACTTTGTACACATTTTATTTGGTTTTCGTTTTGTTAAAAGTCATTTTACTTAGAGACTCTACCCACAATGCGTCGGAGTGGTAAACACTGTACTAGGTACGAAAATGAATTGGTAGGAACGCTTGATGTGTTGCAATATAATATCTCGAAACTATTCTAATTAATAAAACTTGTTGCTATCAGTGAGTTATAGGTAAAAACTATTTTTAAATATGAAAGGAATAAACTACACAGCCTGGCAACAACGCACCATACAATGTCGATTCTATTACGAAATCGCTACGCGCTACGTTTCTTTGCAATGTATGACCGGGTTTAAAGGTAAATGTATCTGTTGTTTCTATAATCTAAGAACAAAATGCATATTATAAGTGTTCACCTATTACAGAACACAAACTAAAAATTAGTGTAGCCAATACCCAGACAACACACCAAATCCCAGAGATAACCACAGAATATCTTTTGTGGATATCCAATATAAATCTAATATGGATAGCCAAATGTCCGTCTATATTCAGAATATAGAAGATATCCTATGTATATCCAGCAAAATATCTAATGGGTATCTCCCAGACAATACAAGAAATCCCAGAGATATCCACAGAATATATTTTGTGGATATCCAATATATCCAGTGGATCTAATATGGATATCTAAATGTCCGTCTATATCCCAGGATATAGAAGATATTCTATGTATATTCAGCAAAATATTTTATGGGTATCTTCAGTAGAAGTAACCAATGATTATTGAATAACGTCGAAAGAAAATAGCAGAGATAAAAAATATTTTCAACACTCAAAATATTTTCAATACTCTGCCTTTGATTTTGCCTACTAAGGAGAAAGTCATCCTTATTAGGAATCTTCAGCAATAAATTAAAATTCTCGACTCCAGTCTCTAATGGAGTCTGTTTGCGATATACATTTCGATCGAACTCAATTACGGCGGGTTGAGCATGAGTAGATGCGAAAGTGGTATCGCCATCTATACTTAGTAAGCAAAATCAAAAATTACATCTAGTGGATATCCACGATGGTTTGCGTTCGCGCCTAGACTTTGATATATTTAGTGGATGTCCATGGGATATTGAATACACCTTAAAAATAGTATATTACACACCGATGTGGGAAGAGTTTTATTCCTGTCGTGAGATTAGTTAGATCACCGAGACGCGAAGCGTCGAGGTTAGCTATGATCTCGAGACAGGAATGAAACTTCTTACCGAGGTTTGTATACTATTTTATTTACAACCATCATATTTCGATCAAAGTTAATAAATCTCTGTTTTGTTCTGAACATACCTAAAATATTACATTTAACGACAAATTACCAAGCGCGCGGTTTTCTCAGAATAATCAAGTAGGTAAATATATTGTTACTGTGATTACGGGGTAAACAACTGTCACCAATATAAATAAATGTCAGATAAAGCCGGATATTAAATTCGCGAATAATAAATATCAATAAGTAGTTTGTTATATTTTAGATCAATGTTGTTTTTTATTGTTTGCCATTAAATAGGTATTATAAAATTTGTCAAACATGGGTTATTTTTTTTTTAAATATAAAACATATTCATCTAGAACAGATGAAATGAGGGCGGGAAGTAGAGGTGTGTAATGTGACACTTCCCAACCTTCAATGACGTTAGTAATGACAACATTACATATATGGTTGTAAATAAAATAAATTTTAAATATCTGAACGGTACTATTAGCCACAATGGCGAGCACAATGGCGTAATTTTTTAATAATTTGCTATATAATTACTATTATTTATGCACATTTGCATGTCTATAAATTACATCTCATGGATATAAAATAGATATCCACCATGGACTGGACATTCAGTGGAGATTGGGATCTCCAGTAGATATCCAAAGGATTTGGTGTGCTGTCTGGGTACATCACTTAGCATGGCGGCTAGGCATGTAGGGATTGTAGTGCTATCTAGACTTTCTGAGAGCTATGCCTATAATACATCAATATTATTATTTGTACGTAGTGACATGTTTTTTGTTATATTATCCAAGTTAACATGGACTTTGAATATCAACTACGTTTCTCATGATTAACCTAAGTAGTCAATACATTATACACTACTTACGCCAAATTTTTAGTTTTTATATATATTTATTAGAAAAGTGTGATCGTAGAAAAAATCTTGTTTGTATTTTGAGCGTAAAGTTCGTTACCACTTTCGACAGTTTGCCGCGCTTCGCTACGTGTCGCACGGGCCACTTGCTGTCTCAAGCGGTAAAGTATTACGTTTCGCTCTTAATACAATTATTCCGATTATTATCCTAATCTTAAAGTTGTTCGAAGTAGATTATGAAGAAATGAGAAAAAACACAAAAGTATGTCAACCACAGGATATTTAATTCGATTTTTTCAATGATGGTAAAGTTTGCAGGCAGTTTCGACAAATAAAATTATTGTAAGTGCAACAATATATTACCATACCTTTTTTTGCTATACAGTGTGTAGTTATTTATTTTATGTTTAATTACAATTCATTCTCAAAATTTTGCATTTAAATATATACGTGTAGATATATTAATAATACTGATATTGAATTGTGAAAAATGAGAAATTATCTCTGAGAGTATACAGTATTACAGTAAATTTCGGGAATAGTAAAACTTCAAAAATTAGTACAGCCTATATTACGAATACGTACCCTGAATTTGTCGTAATTCGTCAATGTTGAGAGCTTGGCCACTTCTTTGAATCTTCACTGAATGATTGGCTACTTCGTAATCTAATGGTTTGCCCACTTTTCGTTCTAAAATTAATTAAAAATATAAATATTAAGATGGCTCTCTATATGATTGGCATTGCAGAAATGCAGTAACCTCAAAATTTTTATCTAAACTGAGGGCGGGGCTTATGAATGCGAAAGAGATTAGGACAGACAAACTTTTCGTACCGCAAGTTCCAATTCGCAGGCGATATTTTTAATGCGAACGAACGGGCATGCCGTTTAATACTTTTTCGTGTTCAAGCGCATTTACTACGATACACAGATGGCACTCATGGTCGGAGGGAAGGGTTTTTATTTTATTTCATTATATTTTTTTTTATTTATTTTATCAAAACTAAAACAGGCCTTGCGTGATTTTTATATAAATAGTAAATTTTGCAATGTTTTTAAAGTCATAGGTATTAAATATAATATATTTTAATGTTGAACTACATGGTCAATTTTTGGAAATAAAAAAATTTGATTTTTCTCGAAAACGGTCGACTTTAGAGCGTATGACCAAGAGTACCTTTTTTGTGTAGAAAAGATTGGCGGTTCAAATGGGCGTCTCAAAACCGTACTTTTTCCAGTGGCGTAGAATTATTTTTTCAATTTCAATCTCAAAAATGGTGCATTTTAGAGGGTAAGTTAATAGAAACGTTTTTTCATATTTTTGGACGAGCTATCACGTCCTGAAGTCCTGCGCATATATTATGAAACACCCTGTATATTATGCTCAATATACTAATTCAATATTTCATAAGACATTGAATGAATTACCCTTTAGAAACGTCTATGGATATAGCTCCAACATCCGAAATAATTGTTTATTATTCTTACAATTACTAGTTGACCTGAAGAACCGAAAATAATTATATGCTCCCAAATTATACAATTATACGTATTTTTTTTGAAAACTAATGCAGATTTTTTTGTAAAACTTGGAAAAAATCAATACAAAACTCACCTTTTGAGTAATTAATTTTTTTGAGCTTTCTTTCAGCTACGTCTCTTTTCACTACAAAACAAACGTTTTCCTTTATCAACTCCCTTCGTTTGTTTTATTCTTCCCATAATTACATAAAAACACTGAAGTGCCGACAATGAACGGAATCAGTACGCGAAACCAAATTTATAATAGAATAAATAAATGTCTACCACAATCGATTCAAAATCCCAAAAACAAATAAAAATAAAATCTTTCCGTAGGCTGGAACGAACGACTATGATGTTACTGGCGGATGGTATAGCTTCGTAACCAACTCACTTATTATCTGTTATTTGGGAATCGGAGCGACACAATCGTTGTAAAATGCAATTTTTATTTTACGCCCCAAAAGTTCATTTATCATTATTTGCAAATGAAACTCATACCAAAGATTTAAAAAAAAGCTACACTTTCGGGAAACATATTAATAAAAATATTGATAAAAATATTAATATGTTGTTCACAATAAAAAAACAAATACTTTCCCGTAAAATATATTTTTTTCTAAATAGGCTATTAAAAATTTCATTAAAGTCGGATATGTAAGATAGAAACAGAAGGTAAAATCATTTCAAGTGAGTATGAAGCCCTCTTAAAGAAATTTTTAAGGAGGTCCTTTCGCCACACCTCTCGCCTCAAATGTTATAAAAAAAAAGTTATTAGATTATGACTAAAATTAATTTTTTTCTAATAGTTGAAGTCCTTATTTATCTAATACTGAACTTTTAACTATACCTTACCTTGTAAATTTTTGAGATTTTTTTTTAAAATGTGAGTATTTGTACAGTGCCTCACGAGAAAGTAAGTCCTCAACAACAATTCTCGAATTATACTATTATTTATTGATTACATGGAGTAGAAAAAAACTAAAAATAAGGTTTTTGAAATATTTGGATTTTGTTTTATACAATAAAATACATATAGTAAACCATGGAACTTATTGAGAAATTAATATTAAAAAATCACAAAAAATTTTCAAGTAACCTAGTTGAAAATTTTTTGTGATTTTTTAATAATAATTTCTCAATACATTCCACGGTAACCTATATATTTTATTGTAAAAAACAAAACCTAAATATTTCAAAAACCTTATTTTTAGTTTTTTTCTACTCCATCTAATCAATAAATAATAGTAAAATTAATTATAATTCGAAAATTGTTGTTGAAGTCTTACTTTCTCATAAGACACTGTACAAACACACATTTTTAAAAAAAAAATTCTCAAAAATTTGCACGGTAAGGTATAGTTAAAAGTTCACTATTAGATAAATAAGAACATCTACTATTAGAAAAAAATTAATTTTAGTCATAATCTAATATTTTTTATTTAACATTGGTGGCGAAAGGACCTCCTTAAAGAAGACAATACAATAATTGCTTGATATGATTAACTACAAAAAGTTATAATCACATTTTATACGGGGGTTGTTTACAAATTTTTCTTTGGCCTTCGGCTAGTAACGTTTACAAATATTTTATATAAGTTTTGCACCTAATATAATTCCTTAATTATTCTTAAATGGAGCTATTAATTTGAGCTATACTTTAAAGTAAATTACCCTATACTCTGTGTCTGTAACGTGAGTTAACCCACGGCACTTAGGCCTTACTATGCCCATTGTGCATCCTACTAAGTAGATAGGCACTTCCTAGCTCATGAGCCAGCATACATATTAAATGCAGTTAACAATGTCGCCAATACCCTATACTCGTGCAAGTTTCATTAATTTCCTGTCTTGTTTTATAAATATAAACATTGAAAGTTGAAATGCTAGAAAATATTTTATAATCTTATTTCTTGATGAATTTATTATAATCTTGCTACACAAAGCAATATTTGTAAACACCTCCCGTATAAAAAAGTGATTATAACTTTTGTAATTAATCAGTTGTCGCAATTCTCGACCCACCCTGTATAATAGGCGGCTTCTTTTGTCATAACGACTGAATGACATGACATCTGTCTTCCTTTAAACCAGCAATGCTATTTTGTGTTACTAATCATCTAAAAAGTAATACTTTTTGATGAGCGAACCTCATAGAAAAAACGGCCATTTTTATGATTTTCAAAAATTCGTATATTCCAAAAAAAAATCAAAATTGGGTGAGAGTCATTTTCACATGTGTTTGGTGCGGGGTTCTTTCTGTATTATGTCATTACTGACATATTCTTTATTAATTTGAATAAGGCATCTCGAAATTCAGGAACAAAAGATAGCAATTACATCAACTGAACTTTCATTCTTTTTAATTTTCATAGTTCACAACTAATCATCACTTACCTCACCTTGTTTTGGGCAATAAAATAGAAGGTGCTTACGTTCTGTTTGAGATGGGAGTCTTGCTGGAGGGCCCGGTGCAGCTGCAGAAGTAGGTGCTGGTTTTTCGCTACAATAATATATTTAATAAGAACCTACCTAATATATTTCAAAAGTTCTTAATTAGACAAGGTGTTAGGGATATCACCCACATCAGTTTAACTGGTGATTAATGGAGCAAAATGGAGCAGAAAAATACATATAGTTTAGTTTAAAACTCGAATAATATAGCCCTAAACGTATCTGAACTCTGCCTAATTGCCAGTATATTTTCTCGTCAAGAACTGTGATACATTAATTACAAATTATAATATTTAATTCCTAAAATAAAGATATTAATAGTTTATAGAATTCCATAACATAAACAAATTTTTTGAGTATTTTTTTTTGGTTCTTTCAAGGTTTCCTTTTTGATTTTCGTATAATTTTCTCCTGAAACCCAATTTATTGTTTCGCTTGTGGTAAATGGGACGCCTATGGATAACGCCCATGAACAGTCTAGAACTCTTAACGATGTTGCCATATTGTAATATATGGTCGAAGAATTTTGTGAAAACATCGAGAGCCTTAACCTTTTTATTTAAATAGGCTGTACTGCTGTGACGAAGTGAATTGATAGAAATATATTATAAATTAATTAATAAAATGTTTAAAATATATAAACGTTACAATACTGATTTATTATGATTTATTTTTTTCTATTATAATTTGTTAGTTTTTACTACTAATATTTTTTTGTTTGGGTTTTTAAGAGCACCCTTTAGCAAACGTTTGTCTTGTTCTAAGTACAATGTATTTTATTACCCTGCTGAAAAACTTAGGATTCAAAGGTTAATTTGCTTTTAAGTATAATAATGAAATGAAATTACCTGGATTCTTTTATCAATTTCAGGATTCCAACAGTTGATCTAAATAATGTAGCGGTACCACGTATTTTTAAATCACATATGGCTTTGAGGAAATCAGATTCTGTAATCGGGTTGCCTTCGGGCATTCCCATCGATCTAAAATCAGCAAATTCAATAACAATCAGATTTATAATTGAAAAGTTATTTATATGTAATAATTATCAACATTAATATTGTTATTATTTCGAATCCCCCCGAGGACAAATTTTTTTTCAATCTTTCAATACATTTGTCTTCACCTTGGGAGTTAAAAAATAATTTTCATTATTTCGGAGGTGTAATTTTGGGATTTGTTTGGGGATTTCCTGCGAATTTATCATCCTATTTTTCGAATTTTCAACCGATAAGTTTCCGAAGCTTTTAAGACAGATTGTCTCACTATTCTATTAGTTATATAAAATTGTATTATAGTATGTTATGGCAGAACTTACTTATAAGTTTCTGAGGCTTCTTTAGCAACAGCTGGAGGATCTAAAGGACTTTTTTTCACTTTTCTTAGATCAGTTATAATACTTTTAAAGTCGTCTCCTTTTATTAAGCCATCACGATCTTGATCATAAAACCTAAATAAAAAACTGAATATAGAAACTGAATATAAAACAAAATTAACGAATTAAAGTATGTATGTCCATAGATATATTGTCTCACTTCAGACTTGTTTAAATAATATAAATGTGTATCTTATACATTATCTATTACTTCCAGGTTCAAGGGCAATTAGCAATAACAAAAAAAGAAAAATGCTACTTGGTTATATGGAGTCCAAAAGGTTGCTTAATTTAAGAGGTAACTAGCTAATAATTAACTTTTTTTTTAACTTTATTAATGTCTTTTTTTTAGATTTAAAAAGATGAGAACTTCTGCTTAAACGAAATGGTTCCCAAATTAAAAATATTTTTTTTCAATTGTCTTCTTCCGGAGCTAGTTGAGCAACAAGGAACTTGAACATAAGAGAAAACTGTAGAAAAGAATTAACAAATGTAAATTTATAAAAAAACAAATAAATATTTCATATAGATAATTTTTTTTATATCGCATGTCCATCCATGTCAACATTTATTCTTCCCTAAATATTTTTTCCTTGAAAAATTATCACAACTCGAAAATAAATTTCTGAAAACTGTTTCGAATAATTCCGAAACGACATTTTTGCTGTCCTCCTATAATCTTCAAAACCGATAAATGAGATGCAATGTTTATTATAAAAAATACTAGTTATTTCCAAAAAATACGTAGTTCAAAATATTAATTAAATAGAAAATATGTTACTAGTATTTTAAAATTATAAAAATTCTACTACAGTTATATTCCAGGAATAGTGAAGAATACAATAGACGCTTAGAAACATGATACGATTAACCATAGTTTATAAATAGTGTAAAAACATAAATTTCTAGTTAGTTCTCATCTTGCAGCATTCGAAATAAAGTCAATTTTTAAAAATTCGTTTTTGGTTTTGAAACCTTTAACTGGCGCAGTTAGCAGTAGGATTTTACCAAGATTGTACGAAACGTGTCGAATTTTCGTACAGTTCTCCGTTTTAACGGTTAGTTGATGCGAATCTACGGACATTTTTCGAGTGCTAAAAAAAGGACTCAGTGACCAGGGGACTGGAACTAAATCGTCCGCAACCCTATTGGTGAGGGCAGAGGAACAAAATCGTCCAAAGTCCATAGTTAAGAGTGACCAGGGGATTGGAACAGCATCGTCCGCAACCCTATTGGCGAGGACAAAGGAACAAAAATCGTCCCAAGTCCATACTTAAGAATTTTGAAGTAAATGAAGAAAATATTAATACTGTAAGTGCCTCCTTTTAAATACACATATCCTTTTATTTTTTTTTTTTTGAAAACGGTGTTATTTTCTGATTCTCACTGTGGATAATATAATAGATAGATTTTTAAATTTAAATATTAACGAAATGGCTCAACCAAATTTTCAAGCAATTACATACCAAGCAAATAATATTCCAAATTTTGATGGAAATCCAAAACAAATTAGTAGATTTATTAAAGCTTGTGAAAATTTTCTTGCAAATCATCAAAATCGGGCTGATCCCAATGCTGCAATTAATATTAGTTTGTTTGATACTATAATTGGGAAACTAACGGGTAGAGCTGCTGATTTAATAGCTTCTAGAACGGAACTAGATAGTTGGGCAAGGGTTAAAGATGCACTTTTAGTTACTTTTTCTGATCAAAGATCAATTGATTGTATTATTCAGGACATAATTTCAATGCAACCTGAAAGAAATGAAGATGTACAAAATTTTGGCTTAAGAATTCAAGATGCACGTAGTATCTTATTTTCAAAGATTAACATGTCTAATGAATCAAATAATGTTAAATTATTGAAAATTGAACAATATGATGATTTGTGTTTGAAAACTTTCATAAATGGTCTAAATTATCATATGCAACTTGTTCGCTTAAAAAATCCCGATTCAGTTGAACAAGCTATGGCTTTCGCCAGAGAGGAAGGAAATTTTCTAGATTATAAAAATCGTAGTAGTTTAAATTCAAAAAATAATGGTAACTTTCAAAATAGACAAAAACCTCAGGGACGTTATCCAATGAACGCTCAAGCATATCCATATCAAAATTTTAATAATCCAAGACCTAATTTCTAAAATTACTATCAAAATCAAAATTTTTACAATCCAAGACCTAATTTTCAAAATTATCAAAATCAAAATTTTAATAATCCAAGACCTAATTTTCAACAAGTTGGTAATCAAAATTATTTTAATCCAAAACCTTACTTCCCAGGTGCAAACATTTTTCAAAGATTTCCCCTAGGCCATTCAATTCAAATTTTAATCCGCAATTTCCACGAAATTTGATTCAAAATCGTTCAATTCAATCAAGAAATAATTTTCCAAAACCGGAACCAATGGATACTTCATCAAATAATATGAGCAGGGTGACTAATAAAAATTCAAATTATTTTAAAAATAATTCACAACCACGAAATTTTAATTCTGAAGAATTGTTCAATCAAACTGTAGAACCACTACCGTATGCGGATAATCCTTCTAGTTCCGCGCAATAGAGGACTTCTATACAAGGGAAGTGCAACCAACTTAACAAAATAAAAATGACACTAATGACATAAGAAATCGGGTCACATAAAGAGGCTGTTTTTAAGTTTACTTTTTCGTTTTTCTTATATACTTTTATGCCATTTACATACCATGTTGTACCCGTAAGGTAAAAAAGACTTTTAAGTTTAGGGTATTTTACATCTAAAGGTTGAAAAAATTTGTCAGTGTCAGCTGTCAATTATGTTGTTGGTAGAACACAGGCGTAACCATAGATGGGCATAACGGAACTAGTATTGTATATGGTTGTATAGTGTATGGAACTTGTATTTGTAGCAGCAGCATTTTTGCATTTGACATAAATATATAAAACCAAATGAAAAAAATGTTTAAGGAAACCGGGTGAAACACAAATAGACTATTAACAATAAAAAAAATAAATTGCAATGCTACGCTTATGTTTTGACATTATCGACAGCTGATATTGATAGATGTCTTCAACCTTTAAATGTAAAATACCCTAAAATAAAAAGTCTTTTTTACGTTATGGGTACAACATGGTATGTAAATGGCATAAAAGTGTATAAGAAAAACCAAAAATTGAACAAAAAAACAGCCTCTTTATGTGACCCGATTTCTTATGTCATTAGTGTCAATTTTATTTTGTCAAGTTGGTTGCACTTCCCTTGTATAGAAGTCCTCTATTCGAACATGATACAAATTTACAAGAAAATAATTATGAAAGTTATTATGATGAAAATTTTTATCTAACGGCCTCGAAAGACAAGATAAAATGATAAATATTAATATTGTTTATTCTGCTTTACCTAAGGTTATTATACCGGAGTTAAATGCTACTTTTCTTTTAGATACAGGGTCGGCCAAAAGTTTCCTTAGACCCGAACTCGCTCACAAAATTTATAAAGATTTTAATAGACCGGAGAAATTTTCAGTACGTACACCTCATGCTATTTCTTTTCATGACGAAACAATGGTAATTCCGATTTTCCCTTCTTTTAATGTTAACGGTACACACAAATTTTACTTGTTCGATTTTTCTCCAAATTTTGACGGACTATTAGGCTTCGATTTGCTACACCAAATCGACGCAAATGTAAATTTTAAAGATTTCAGTTTAGAAACACCTTACGCTACACTCCCTTTGTATAATTTTCAACAAGAACCTTTTAATCCGCTACAAGTTATTATTCCCCCGCGAGTATCTCAAAAAGTAAAAATCCCAGTAAATAAACCTTCATGTATAGGTATATTAAATTACGTAGATTTTGGAAAAGCTGAAATGCCCCAGTGTCTGGTAAAGATTGTAGATTCATTTGCTGTAAGTGTAATTACAAATAGTTGCGAAAATCCTATTAGAATAACTTTTATTGAACCGTTTGAAATAGAATTGATTGAAGAAGATGAATTACATCTTATTATTGATTCAAATTTTATAGAGAACATGGATATTGATGAGGACGAGCTTGATAAATTACAGAGAGATAATTTGAAAAGAATTAGGTTAGACCATTGTAATAATGAAGAATATGAGGCTATTAAAAACCTTTGTTTTGAGTTTAGAGATATATTCTATGTCGAAGGCGTACCTCTTATGTTTTCAAATCAAATTAAGCATAAAATTAACCTTACTGATGATAGTCCAGTTTATACAAAAAATTATAAATATCCCGAAATACATAGGAAAGAAGTAGATACACAAATAAGTAAAATGTTGTCAGATGGTATAATAAGACATTCAGATTCGCCATTTAATTCACCTATTTGGATTGTAGAGAAAAAACGTTCAAATTTAAGTAATAAAAAATCATATAGAATTGTAATAGATTATCGTAAGCTAAACGAGAAAACAATTGATGATAAATTCCCACTTCCAGTTATAACAGATATTTTGGATAACTTAGGGCATGCTCAGTATTTTACGACATTAGATTTGGCCAATGGTTATCACCAAATTGAAATGGACCCTGAAGATGTCCCAAAAACTGCATTTTCGACAGAAACAGGTCATTATGAATTTCTTCGACTCCCTTTTGGTTTAAAAAATGCCCCAGCTTCTTTTCAGAGAGTAATGAATAATGTTTTGAGGGGTTTTCAAAATGAAACCTGCTATGTATACCTTGATGATATAATTATTTTTTCTTCTTCACTTCAAGAACATTTAGAGAGACTAAGGTCAGTTTTTGAACGGTTAAGACAATCCAATTTAAAAGTACAATTAGAAAAATCTGAATTTTTGCACACAGAAGTAATGTATTTAGGTCATAAAATTACTAGAGAGGGTGTTTTACCAAACCCAGACAAAATTAATGCAGTAAAAATGTTTCCATTACCCAATACGCAGAGAGAAATTAAGTCTTTCTTAGGGCTAGCCGGTTATTATAGGCGCTTTATAAATAATTTCGCGAAAATAGCAAAGCCACTCACTGCATGTCTCAAAAAGAATTCAAAAGTAATTCATTCGCCCGAATTTATAAAATCTTTTAATCACCTTATGGAACTTTTAATAAACGCTCCAATATTAGCATATCCAGATTTTTCAAAAACATTTACCCTAACCACAGACGCTTCAAACGTGGCTGTTCTTTCACAAGGCGAATCTCCTAATGATCATCCTATAGCTTACGCTTCGCGAACCCTAAATCAAACAGAGCAAAAATATTCAACTATAGAAAAAGAATTATTGGCAATAGTTTGGGCCTGTAAAATGTATCGACACTATTTATACGGTCGAAAATTCAAACTGATCATCGCCCTCTTGTGTGGTTATTTAACCTTAAGGAACCAAATTCTAAACTCTTGAGATGGCGTCTCAAATTAGAGGAATTTAACTATACTATTAAATATAAACCAGGAAAAAATAATATTGCTGATCCATTATCTAGAATTACCCTTAACGCTTTAGAGACCCAATCTAATTTTAATAATCCCGGAGATATTGATCTCGAGATAAGAAATTTTTTGGAAGAATTTAACCCTGATAATATAGATCCCATAGATCTTGATAATACCTTAAAAGAACTTGAAAATATCGGAGTAAATAATAACCCACAACAATTAATAAATAATCACGGAAATTCTGAAAATAATGAAATTCAACCTTAAGAAAATAATTCTGACACAGATACGGCCCATAGTGGAGAATCCTCTCCAGAAACATGTTTTACATTGTTAGATGATATAACAAGTGTAAATTAAAAATTAAAAAAAACCGACTTCAAAAACGTGCAGATGCCATCACAACATCTTAACCAAATTTATATGGGATCACCCCTGAGGTAACCCCTTTCTAACAAAAAAAGAATCATATAAATCGGACAAGGTAGTAAAGCATTATCGCTAAACATACATAAAAAATGAAGAGTTTGAGGATTTTCTCATGGACACAATTTTTAGATTTTGACCAAATTTATATGGGACCACCCCTGAAGTAGCCCCTTTCTAACAAAAAAAGAATTATTGAAATCGGACACCGTGTTAAAGAATTATCGCTGAACATACACAAAAAAAAAATATCGCGACGAATTGATTACCTCCTCCTTTTTTAAAGTCGGTTAATAAATAACAAAGCATATCAACTAATAGTAGAAAAAGTCTCCGTACGTGCCTTATCTTAAACGCGACTTCGAAACATTTGACGGCCACAAAATCATTCGTGCTACAATCCCAGCTGATGAAAAGGTCATTGTCGATTTTCTTAGAGAAAATGCTTGTAAAAATACTGTGTATATATATTTTTTATCTAAAGAACTTCGACCGATTTTCCAAAAAGTTTGGTCTAAATATTTTATATAATTAAAATTAATAGAATGTACTAAAATAGTTAATAATGTACTTCCAGAGGAACGCAATACCATTATTAAATATAAACATGAGGGTAAAACGAATCATAGAGGAATTGAGGAAACTTTAAAATTTCTGAAACTTAATTATTATTGGAAATCAATGAAAAAAGATATCACTGACTATATAAATAGTTCTGAAATTTGTCATAGGACTAAATATAATAGAAAACCTCCTGATGAACCTTTAGTTTTAACAGATACACCTTCAAAACCTTTCGAAATCATTCACATCGATACATACAAAGTAGGATCTTATAGATTTTTGACAATTCTGGATAAGTTTTCAAAATTTGGACAAGCTTTACCATATTTTGGTACTTCAATTTCAGCCTGTCAGCAATTAGTACATTTCTTTTCCTTTTTTGGTATCCCAAAACAAATTGTATCGGACGAGGGTACGGAATTTAAAAATGATACTGTAAAAGAACTGTTAAAATCCCATAATATCAAAATACATTTCACTACGCCATATCATCATGAATCAAATTCACCGGTAGAAAGATTTAATTCCACTATAACCGAACATCTTCGACTTCTAAAAGAAAAAGATAAAGATGCAGATATACTTTCTTTAATGCCTTATGCAATTGTGGCTTACAATAGCACTATTCATTCTAGTACAGGGTATTCCCCTTATGAATTAATATTAGGACATACAAATAGTCGTGATCCAATGGTACTCATACCAGCACAAGCTTATACACAATATATAAATTCCCATCAAAATAATACAACGGCCTTATATAATAAAATACGAGAAGAATCTCAAATTGCCAAAGAAAAAATATAACACATGCCAATATCAATAAAAAGACCTTAGATCCAAAAGTTGGTTCTCAAGTTTATAGGAAAATCGAAAATAGGGCTGGTAAATTAACCCGGATGTTTAATGGACCCTATATACTAACAAAAATTTTAGAAAACGGAAAAATAGAAATAAAAAATCCTAAAAATAAAAAGAAAATAATAGTTCATATCAATGAGACTAAAATATTACCTAAAATTTCAGATGGCTCGCCGCCCTCGCCGGACTCGCCGGCATGGTCGCAGTCCAGTTTCACAATTTAAACGATTATCCTGGACTCCTTCCTTACAAATTGGGTACAACTAAAATAGTAAATAGTCGTTGGTCTTTTGTTCAAATTTATAACCTAACTTCACTTGTATCGGAATTTTCGATAATTAAAAGCCAATCAAAAGAGTTGAATAAACATTTCAAAATTCATCATGGATATTATTCCGAATTTGAAAATTCTTTTATTCCTCTTTTAACTTTAGAAAATAAAATAGAAAGTCAAATTAGCCAAATTTATCCTCTTTTTAAACTTGGAAATAGGATTAAACGAGGTTTGCTGAATCCTTTAGGTTCTCTTATTAAATGCATAACTGGTAATCTAGACCAAGAAGATGCGGAGCGATATCAAAGACAAATCACCGAGTTACAAGAAAATCAACATAAATTAAAAATCAATTCAATAATTGATCAAATTTCACTTTTGCAAAGTTCGATTAAAAATTTTAACAACCTAATCTCAAATATTTCTCACAATCAATTGAACTTGAAATCAAGAATAGAGAACATTGAATATAAAATTAAGGAACAAATTTTATTAGATAATTATTACTACGATTATTTTCAATCTTTTATAGTAATAAATCAAATCAATATGTTATATCAAACAATTTATGATATTTTAGAGAAAATAGAAATTGCAATTTCGTTTGCTAAAATGAATACGTTACATAATTCAATAGTAAATCCTTTAGATTTATTAAAAGAAATGAACACATCTGAATTTAAATCAAATATAGATTTATTACCATTTGAACCAATATTAGAAAATATTCTTAAATATTAAAAATTAATTGAAGTTAAAAGTTATTCAAAAGATTTAATTATTACTTTTATATTAGAAATGCCTCTAGTGGAATCAGAAAAATATCATTATTATCAACTATTTCCTGTACCCATCCTTGGAAATAATTCCGAATTTTATTTTCACCTCCCGTATAAACCATTCCTAGCACTTACTGACAAAGCTCATTTATATATGGACCAAGCCTGTATTCATATTCAGTCTAAGGAGTACATATGCAGAGAAACTCATAAATCCTCTACCTCAGAGGACTCACCATGTGCCGTCCAGCTACTTACTTACAAATCAAAGGTCACCACGTGTCAACCAGTTCATATTCTCCTACATACTATCCAATCAATCAAAATCACCGATGGAAAATGGCTAATAACTGCACCTAATAAAGAAATTGCCATAATTCACTGCCAGGACTCAAAGGACAACGTACCAATCCATGGAACCCTACTACTGGAATCAACTCCTGATTGTACAGTTCATATAAAATCATTTACATTTGTGACAACAAAAATCAATCAACTAAATTTTATTGACGTTCACCTTCCAGTAATGAATTTGGCTGTAAATTTCAAAAATTCTCAAATTCAAGAAATTGATCCACCCTCACTGGATCTTAGAACAATTAGTTTAAAGGAAACCCAAGAAATACAAACTAAACTCGAAATTCAAAAAGAAAATTTAAAAACCATCAACACTCCAATTTATTTTAACAGGACCAGTATATGGACAATTCTTTTATACATTTCAATTGGTTCTATAATAGGATTTTGGATTTTAAGAAAAGTTTGCATCATTAATCGTCAAAGAAGAATCCAACCACCAAACGAAGTAGAAATTATCGTCTGATGTCCTGAACCACATCCATAAGGGCTGTGCTTCCATCCAGGGATGGAGGAGTTATATTCCAGGAATAGTGAAGAATACAATAGACGCTTAGAAACATGATACGATTAACCATAGTTTATAAATAGTGTAAAAACATAAATTTCTAGTTAGTTCTCATCTTGCAGCATTCGAAATAAAGTCAATTTTTAAAAATTCGTTTTTGGTTTTGAAACCTTTAACTCTACTGAAAGTAATATACCAAATCATGCAGAGCGAAATAATCGATATCGCTCGGTGCAGCGGTGCCACATCGAGCTTCGCCCGTTATAGCAGCACGTGGCGGCCAATTTTAATTAAAAAGCGCAATTTTAATCCCATTTAAAAAGTATTTACTTTTTTAAAAAATAAAGACCGTCAAAATTTTTTAAATTTATTATACTTTGGGGCAGAAACATTAAAAATTTCCAAAAATTAACTTAATTAATAAAAAAAAAAAATAAAAAAAAAGAAAATTAAAAAAATATATTGTTTCTGCCCCAAGCAATAAATATTGATTAATAACTGAAAAACAGTTCATGAAAATCAGATGAAAAATAGAGTGTATGGCTTTAAACTAAACTTACGAGATATACTGGTTGCTCTTAAGAAATTTCCAGTAGTTTTCCTCACTGAACTTATATATTAAACTGGAAGCTCAAAGCCGATCAACACCAAAATTAAATTTAACACTTATTACATTCAACTACAACACCTTTTTGTAATATATTGGAATAAATATGTGATGCCACCCTGTATTAATATCAATGTTTGACGATAGCCGTTTTTTGTAGTAATATTGAGTTTACCTTCTTGTGGAATATACCAAAATAAAGTCAGTTATAGTACAACATTTATTTGTTTTATTTCTCATTATAAATTCGCTCCGATAAAATAAATAACTGAAAATATTAATTAGTAATTAATTGAAGATATTACACTTTTAATTTAAGAAACTCCTTTAAACATTATTATCATTAATAAATACGCAACTAAAACAAATGTTCCAATAACAATATTAATTAAAATACTACCATATTGTTACCCTGCACCTTACAGTAGCCTGCGGCTGTTATGTGAAACATACGATTAAAAAAAAAGTGCAATATCACTCATCACCCTACAGTGTGCTGCGGTCGTCATAATTAAAAGTACGAGTAAAAGAAGAACAGAATAGTCCAGAAATTACTGGAAATGTTATTTCTTGTCAAGAAAAATCTGTGCAGTTAGAGAATGTTCGAGAAGGGTCATACGTATTTAAAAGAACTAATTAATAAAATCCATCACTGCCCTTCGTTTTATAAAATTAACATCATACCATTATTCCTAATTTGAAAATTATTTAAACTTCTTAAGATCTTCAAATGCTTTGCTTTATAGGTACTTATAATAGTTTAAATCCATCCCCGACTTCTACCCACAGTATGAGAGAGATAGCTATAGCAAATCCTACGAGATGAAAGGTGCCGCCGCGGAGTCTCGCAGCTGGTAAGCTGTGGTCGCACCTAGTTCTGTTGATACAAAATCACATTGGCATTCTACCCCACTCCAGTTTTTTGAATAAAATGGAGAATTTGTATTTATTTTAAGAATTTCTAGCAAAATATAGTTATTGGATTTAATAAGTATGTTTGAATAAATAAGCTATTCGATCAAGTAGTATTCACGATAATTTAGTGTTTTTTAAAAAACTTTGGTAAAGTTCAAACTTTGCTTTATTTAGGTCTCCTTTTAAAATCTCAGGAAATCGTTTTACTTTTTTTCAATAACTGTCTTCGCGGTGGTTGATATTTTTGAATGCATTATTTTGCTGCCATTATTGTGGTAATCGCAGCCTTAAAACCTTTTAAATACATTATTGTTCCTTGTGACGAAGTCACTAAATTTTGCTCTCAATTATTTTAAAAATGTATATTTCAATTAATTCCCGCCTGAGAACATGTAGAAGTTTCCCCGTATTTCTGTTGCCCAGGAATTACCGTTTTTGCAACAATTGCGAGTACCCTCGTAGATTAAAATATTCTTATATTTGCCGAAATCTGAATGGGCATTTTTATAGTCGATTTCGTATGAATTATCTACTTTTAATTGTCAAAGTACTAGAAGGACATTTTTTATATTTCTAAATTCTAAGCAACCAGCTGTAGTAGTGGTATCCCCACTCGGGCTTACTGGTCTTCCATCTTGCTTTACCGAAAAGCATAAATTAAATCCCATCTAGGAATTACCTCTCTTCTCGCTTGCCAGCCGCCGTAAGCTCTTCTCTCTTGATTGCCGACAGCCGAAAACTATTCACCCTTAGTTAGTACCTAGTGCCGTGAGTACCGTGATTTAGTTCATCAATTAACCCCGTTTATCTGCTAAGGTAGGAACCGTATATTATTTTTTTTAATTGGCTTTTATATAATTAGTTGGGACACCCGTGTGACAAGTGAAAAATTTTGATTCATATCCAGGATATATTATTTCATCCCTCAGTGGGAAACCGTTGGCAATTTTTTATTTGAGGTTGGACCTAGACTAGACACCGAGTGCTCTCTTTGTCAGCGACTATATCCAATTTCTTTTAAAAACCGCCCAGTTAACATCGAAGTGAGAGGTTCGACCTGTTTTCAATTTCCTTCTTTCATTTTATTGTTTTATTTTCTTTTTTTTTTCGGACGTTCGATCCGTTCCCGACTTAGAGTGCTCTCTCTCCTGATGACTTATCTAATTTCCCAAAAGACGTTTAAATTAATTTCCGCGCCTCACTTCGTGTAAAAATTTCTTTTCTTTTAATTTTTTATTCAGCCGTATTTGAATCATTCCGTTCCCCCGTTCAACAATTAATTATTGAACGAAGTCCGACGTTTTCTGTAAAATCAATTCACCCGTCTTGATCGCCTTTTGGGCAAATCTCAAAATAATTTTTACGCTAACCATCGCATTCTGGTTCCAAACACCGCGCTGAAAATTATCATTCTCGTTCAATATATTGCCAAGCGCCGCCGATCGTATCGTCTAAGATACAGGGACGTTCCGAAAACTTTGATTTCATTTATTTGCTTGCATTTGATTGCCTTCATATTTAAATTGTTTTCAAGTGTATTAATTTATTTTCATACATTTTTCGTATGCTGGGCGTTTCACGATCCCCAGTCCGATTAGCCTCCTGTGCTAATAAACCATAAATATTTCCCTATGTTTAAATAATTTTCAATAATAATAATTTATTTTTCAATTTTCAATAGTTTATTTTTCATAAATTTTCCGAATATAGGGATCCGTCAATATTTAAATAGTTTTCAACTTTAATAATTTATTTTTAATAAATTTTCCGAATACGGGGATCCGTCAATATTTAAATAGTTTTCAACTTGAATAATTTATTTTTAATAAATTTTCAAATATAGGGAATTTCATAATCCCCAGACCGATTAGCCTCCTGCGCTAATGAACCATGAACATTTCCCTATATTTCAATAATTTTCAATAATTTATTTTTCATAATTTTTTCGGATATTAGAATCCGTCAATATTTAAATAATTTCCAATTGTAATTATTTATTTTCATAAATTTTCCGGACATAGGGATCCATCAATATTTAAATACTTTTCAATTTTATTAATTTATTTTTAAAGAATAGATTTTCCGAATGCAGGGAGCCGTTCATATATAATTACCGTTGTATTTATTTTTTGTAAATATATATTTTATTACCTGTTCCTGTGTTTCTCTTATTGCTGGTTCTTAACCGTTCTCTTTCAGGGTACCGTAGGATACGAGGTGTAAAGGAGATAAGTGTTTTATTTTTTTTATTTATTCTATACTCTGTTTTTAAACTAGGAGGAGCGAATTGAAAAGACGCATTTACACAGGGAAAAGTAACTAGATTTGTTACTAAGAGCGAGTTTCGAAATATATTTGTGTTCAAAATTTATGAAATAATTATCTTTATCGGCCTTAGTCGGTGAACGGCCAATGAGCGGTTGAGAAACGAATAAATGTCATAGAAGTAATTTTTTAATTGGTCCCAGACAACGGTATCAAATTTCACATTATTGTGATCTGAAATGTGTGTCTAAAACGAAATGTCACTGTCAAATTAAAGTCAATATGGTTGGAGTGCGTTTAGAAACCTCGTACGGCGCGTCTGACCACATACATTAGAATAGGGTCCAGACGCGCCGCGCGTGGTTTCTAAACGCACTCCTGTTGATTGATGTCAGAAATACTTTTTTCTTGCTTTTGAAATCGACTTTTTGAGAATAACTATGATCTTTTTAAAATGGATATTAAATATTTGAGAAAATTGTTAATGGGATATCCAGATGTAGCCAGGTTAGTATAAAATATAAAGATCTGTTTACATTTTTAAGGATATATTTGTTATAGGTATAAAAAGTAAAAGTTAATCAGTGAATGACAAGTGGATCACACAGTAACTGGTATCTCTTCTATGAGTAATGTGGATATTATGGCTTATTTAGTGTTAACCCATGGTTAATGCGCTAGAGGGCAACTAAAGGCATTCAAAAGTTTACAGGCCTATGAGTCAGAATTTCTTTTGAAAACTGGAACCAACATTTTCATAACACTACATGTCAACATATATTTTTTAAAGTGAACTATTCACACATACCTATGTATTAATTTTAAGTATTTTTAAAATATTTTTTGTCAAAGTAATGTTAACTCATTGTGCCAAATTAAGATTGTCCCTAAAGTAGTAGATGGTGTTTTAAATGTTATAACAATTTTGTAAATAGTTTTATTCTATTCTAATAAATAAAATTTGCTTGAATATTTAGTTACATTTTAATCATTTTGGTTAGAAATTTATCAATTTTTACTTTTAAAAAATCAGTAATAAAATTATTTTTTTCTAAAATACTTCGGAATTTATCTCTTCATGGTAATCTCCCATCTTTTTACCTTCGAAAAACAATAATGCATTTTCTACAAAACCTTCAGAATCAGCATGTAAAATAATAAGGTGTCTTCCCTTTCTTGTAAGGCTTTTCAGGAATTGCTACCTTTAATAGTACTCAGTGTAGAAGGATCCATAATTGTAGATTTTCAATAAGAACTATTATTTACGAAATAAAGTAAAAAACTAATAGTGGATTCGACTGGAATCGCTCTAGATCGGTGTAAGATCGCTTCGAAATTTGACTACTCTGCCCTGATTCGAAATTTGAATTGATATATTTTAAGAGCGTAAGCAATAAGTGCGTACCAGTTGCTGTCATTATTTATCTGTTAACTGTCACCGGTTTTAATTTTATGTCACTTTGAAAGTAAATTTTTTTATGACTTGTGATTGCGAATAAATATAGTAATAATTAATCCTATATCCACAAAGTCTTTGGTGAAATGTCCATTATATTTAAGGATTTTATTTATGATGAAAACAAATGCCCATTAGCGGTAGAAACGGGAAAGATTTTATGTTCGGTAATCGATTGTGATGGTAAGTCTAGAATGAGTTAAGGGTTGGTAGGTAATTAAATTCTCAGCTCTAAAAAGATATGACAAAATTTTCTTATAGAAACTCTTTAAAGGTATTTATTTAAAGGTGAAGAAAAAATGAAGGCTTTAGATCGAAAACTCCTTGTGGAAAGTAATATTTTACCCAATGAGAAACCTGAATTGAGCGAAGAACAGACTGAAGAAAAGAACTCCAATGAATGGTCTGAAAGCATGACACGTACGGTTTTGGATAAGTATGATGAGTATATTGGGGATGTTGGGCCCATGAAGAAGTTTCGTACGAAGAAAAGAATGTGGGAATTCATGGCAGAAGAGTTAAATAATATGTTTGAAAATAATAAAACAGCTCAGCAAGTGGAAAATAGATTTAAAACGGTATTAAAACGGAAAAAGAATGCCACTGTTAATAATCATCAAAGTGGCAGTAAAAGAACAAAAATTGAATTTGAGGAAGAGCTCAACAAAATTGCCAGCAAGGATGACAGTATTGAACCTGAAATTTTGAAGGATCAAAACAGTACTATTCAAGTACATAAAGACATTATAAAAGCTGAGAATAAAAAGTCTGTGTCACTAACTGATGTCTTTAATAAAGCCCAAGAAGCTAAACTTAAACAACGGGATCAACAGCATAAAGAACGTGAAGATAATAAAGAACGGAGACACCAGGAGAAATTGCAATTACTAAAAGACTTGTTTAAAAATTCGTAGGAATCATAACTAATTTGTGTTTCCAAGATTACTTTTATTTTTTTTGTTTTTCTTAAGTTCTAAAGAGAATTTTTTGTTTTGTTTTCCATAAGTTCTAGAATTTTTTTGTTTCGTAGATTTTATTTTTCTAAATATAAGGTTCTGTATGTTTTAATAAAAAATTTATAATAATGTTTTATTTTATTTATTTAAATCATATTCAGTAGTAAAAAGAGCTATATTATGTACAATTTTGTAGGTGACACCCTTATGTTAGATTTAAATATTTTCTTGTGGCAATCTTCTAGAAACATTACTACGTTTCTCTTCGCCTTGTCTTTTTAGTTCCCTTTCATTTTCATGATCATTTTCTTGATGAATATCAATGTCATTATCAGAAGGTACAACATCTTGCCAATCATCGTTGTTGAGAATGCATAAGTTGTGAAGAACACAGCAACTTATTATAAAATCAGCAGTACGTAACACAGTAGAAAAATCAGTTCGAGTAAGTTGTCTCCACCTCGACTTCAACATTCCAAAAGCATTTTCTATTTTTACTCTTGTACTTGCATGTCTTTTATTATAATTTTTCTGTATATTGGTTAAGTCCCCATAATCTCTAAAAGGTGTTAGCAACCAATTTCTTATGGGATATGCAGAATCACCAATAATATGCCAGGTATTTTCACAAATATCTGGCATTTTTTTTGAAATAAAAGACAACTTATACACGCGAGAGTCATGTATTTTACTAGGCACACCTGTGAAAACATCCAAAAAAAGTTTATTGTAACTACAGATGGCTTGTAAAGTTAATGCAGGTGAATCATGTCGGTTGACATAGGTACTTTTAATTTTATGATAAGGTGTTGAAATTGGAATATAACTACCATCAATACAACCCAACACATTAGGAAATCCGCTGAGCTAAAAATAAATTTGTTAAAAAATATATATAATATAAATATATATAAACGGTATGAGCCACTGAATTTCTTCCAATACGCGATGTACAAGTGCGTGTGAAAACGAAAGAGAGTTGGCATTGGGGCGAGTAGGAAGGCAATGATATCAGCAGTGCAAGTTTGTATGGCTCGACCGCATTGTAGCATTGTCCAGATCGTATGAACTGGCATCGCTGATATTATTCGTTTCCTTCTTGCTCTAATGCAGACTCTCTGTAGTTTTCACACGCACTTTTGTTAAGTGGTATTGAAAGGTGTTCGATAGCCGATATTTTATAAAAAGGTTTACAAGACAACTATCTAAAAATAAAGGTTATTTACCTTTTCAAATTCTATTGCCATATGAACCTTTTCCTCAAGAGTTATTGGAAATTTTATAAGGCTAGGTGCCATATCATTTAAAAACTTTAAAATTTTGGTAGTTACTAAATGGAACGTGGACTCTGCAATTCCAAAGCGTCCTGCTACATCCCTTATAACGCATTTATTTCCTGCAAACCTGGAAAATTAACATATATAATTTTCTGTTAAAAGCTCTCAATGTGACATACCATAAAAATGATAATACAGCTACTTCTGCTGAAGTGGGGGTGCTACCTCCATGGTTTTTTTCCTTCAAATAATGATTCGAGTTTTCAAATTTCACCTTTAACATTATATAAGTACTCCGGTTCACTCTAAAATTTCTTTTGAACTGTGAAGAACGTCGTATTAATTATTATTAATTATATTACCATGATTTACCATATATTTACCTCTTTTTCAGAATATGATGCTACGATATCCACATATCCAATAATTTTGGGTTTTAATAATTTATTCTCTTTGCATTTAATAAGATATAATATATCGTCCTCGTTATCTGAAATATCTGAGCTGCTGTCACTGCTGCTTGATATTAAATAATCTATGGCTAATAATTTATTTGCAGAAATCATCTTTTCCGAAATATGGTTCACAAATTACTACAAAAATAATCTGAAAACATTTAAGAGGTCTGACAGCTGAGCTGACAGCTAGAAGTCGCACTTAGTTGCACTATGAAAAAGCACGGTTCTAAAATATTCGAATTCTGAACGAATACATTCACCAGTAAAATACAAATTTAACTTTACACTCGTTTTGTGCAAGTCAGTCGAATTCAAAGACGTATGTCGCTTGTTCACAGGACAACCAGTCGAATACGCTGCACCAACAAAATTCGAGATAAATGCGCATTAATGCTGCCAGTCGAATCCACTATAATAGCGGATTCGACTCAAATGCTCTTGCTCGATGACAAAGCGCTTTCGGTTCTGAATTGATTTTGGGCAGCATTTTTATAATTCAAATTTATATCTAGCAGTGCACACAGCAATGAAGAGCTACAGTTCGACATTGGTGTAGCGCGTCTCTATCGTTATTCGACTGGCAGAGTTAGCACTTGAAATTTCAGATTTCTAACAAATTTTTAACGATATTTATTTATAGTTGCCAAACCAAAAATTATATCTCTATTAATTTCAAAGATTTTCCATTATCACTAATAATAAAGAGAAACATGGTAATATATTTAAAAATATTAAATAATTCCTAACCTCCAAAATGACACTGGCACTGAAAAAAAGTACAGTTCCAAAAAATTCGAACTTTGAGCAAGAGCGACTGCCAGTCGAACAAAAATTTCACTATGCCTTGGTACCGAGTAATTTCAGTCGAATGCAATAATTGGCATTTAATTAATTAGGTTCTGTCAGTCGAACAAACGCCACTTAAAAAAGTCGAATTAAATGCGCATTAATGCAGCCAGTCGAATCCGCTATAAGTAATGGATGAGATATCAAATTATAAAATGTCAGAACTGTCAACAATATCAATTATTAGCTGATGTTCATGCTAAAAAGTAATGTGTGAAACTGACTGTAATCTGACCAATCAGAAGGCTACAGAATTGCCAACTTATATTCAAATTGCTCCTCTTAGTTTAAAAACAGAGTATAGTATAGTGGCTACCTGGCAGTGACCGTCTGGAATTATTTTTTTACCTCCACTGAGTTTACTTTGAGTACACTCTGGTGTACTTCAGGGTCGCAGAGCAAACTGCGATACTAAAACTGGCGCCTGAGTAACCCCTATTCGGGTATCACCACCATGTCATATGAAATAAGTTCTGACTTGGGGTGTCCTTTAATTTGAATACCTTGTTGCCAGACTTTTTCGCTCCCTATATTTAATAAACCTTACTTGAATAAATATCTGCTTCGAATTTCTGCTGCTGCTCCACCATGCGTTGTAGCTGGATCTATAGCTGCTAACAGGAACAGATACTCTTTAAAGGATATTCCAAATCGTTTATGTAGATCTGCAGCGCTGAAAAATGTTTTTGTAGTTTTAGTTAATTTTAATACTTGTACTTTTATTCAACATAATTTAAACAACTACTTAAAAAATAAATTTTTAAAATTAACTCAACTATACAGGGTGTCTCAAATTATCGTTTACAGGCAATACTTATCACCATTACTTAACACGTTGAGCGCCACACTGAAAACAGTATATGCACCCTGTGGACCGCACCTAACTGCGAATGAAGCGCATCCAGGATCACTCAGCTTGCCTTCAACATCTAGGCGCAGACATACGTTAGTGCAAGCTGAAGGACCAAGAAAATTGTCACGTGAAAGATGTGACATTTGTTATAAAACTATGAGCTGGGAACATGGGGCACCATATGCCAGAAAAAATGCAAAGAAAATGAACACAATCTGCGATGTATGCCAACTTCCAATGTGTTTGGAGTGTTTCCAAAAAAACATTGCTAAATTTATTTACTCATGAATTTTTCAGCTTAGAATTAGGTTCTATTTTTGAATATTTTATTTTTTTTATAATGATTTTTTAGTTTATCTAATAACTAATAATGTCCTTTTAGTTTATCTAATATTGTCATTTTAGTTTGCAAATAAATGCGTTATTTTATTTGACACAATTTTGTCGACCCAAGTATAGCACTATGTTCCCTGTGGCCCACAGATTACGAACATCCATGTAAAACTCATAGAACGAGTGCTGCCAGTCGGGCATGCGGCGCTAAATAAGAAAACACATAATGTCCGCCGGCGCACAGTGGCGCGGAGCGCCACTGTGCCACCCAAATTACTCTACGACTCACAGGATTGATCCGTTTTAGACGTACGTCACCTTAAAATGTTCGTCTTGAGTTTGCCTATCGACCCTTGTTCCTGGATTTTTTATTTCGAATTTTATTTTTCTGTAATTTGTGTCCAAAAATTTACTTTCATGGAAAAGGGGCGATTTTGGGTGCAAAAGTCATCCTAGCGAACGCAACATTGAGTTTTTACAAAACTTTTTTGAAGGAAACTCTTCCTCTTGACAACCCCTACAACCCTGTGTACGTCAAATTGCGAGAGAAATTGAACGAAAAGTGTTCAGTATCACTTAAGGAATATGTCCGAATTTTTACAGAATTTTTGGAAATTTTCCGAGATTCTGGAATTTGGCGATTTCCTGGCCAAATTAAATGGCCAAAAATATCCTCAAACATTCTGAGAAAATTTTTACGTATTGCTGGATTGATTACAAACACTTTTTATTGAAACAAATTTAGATTTTTGTTCCAATAGATTTTTGAGGAACAATTTCCTTTCGCATCAATAGTTTTGGATCACTATGGTCGTTTTTAGGCATGACGGCCAATTTCTCTACAGAAAAATAAAATTCGAAATCAAAAATCCCGGAACAAGGGTCGATAGGCAAACTCAAGACGAACATTTTAAGGTGACGCACGTCTAAAACGGATCAATTCTGTGAGTCGTAGAGTAATTTGGGTGGCACAGTGGCGCTCCGCGCCACTGTGCGGCGGGCACTCGGTCCCAGGAGTGTATAACCAAATGTCCGCCGATGGGCACTCTCGGCGCTCAACGTGTTAAAAAGATAAAATAAAAACTCTTTCCAATGATGTTACAATACCCTTCTAAAGACATTTTGGTTTAATTTTTACAACCCTTAAGAAAACCATCCCTTTTTTTTTAAATAACTTAATGGACATATAGTTTAAGAACTAAGTGGTACATTCGTACCTTTGGTTGGAATGTCGTGAGGTGGTTGACGAAACCATCAGAAAGTGTCATCTGCAAAAAAATTAATTAAAGAAAATAAAATGGTACTTACAAAAACAAGCTCTGAAAACTTTCTTTAGCCCAACCCAAATCTAAGGCTACTTTAGATAATTGACGTATATTCAAATAGTAGGCTGGAAATGTTTTAACTACAAAGTCTTTTAACAAAACTTCTTGACCTAGAATAAAATTACACGTTACTGAAAATTGAAATGTTCCAAGGACATTTTCGCTATTTATTTAGCACGTTCATTGTCACTATTTGATTACAGGTGCATCAACTGTATTGAATGGTTATAAAATCTGGCAACCAAGCAAACGTTTTCTGAGAATATTGAACATTTGAATTATTAGAAGTGCATCTAATCATCCTCTATCGCCGACTTAGTTAATTAAAAGTTTCTGTTATGAATATTATGGCGTGCAAATTCCGTCTTAAGTCAGAGACCACCCGAATCCCATATTAATGGATTCAGAAACAAAAGATCTATCTGAAATAATATATATACATGATGATTCATTTAAAATTTCATGCGATGACGTCATATCTTGATAAATATAATAGATGATGAAAATCCCCAAGCGTCATTAAATAGTGTATAAAATATACGAAAAAATTTATTCCCGTCAGTTTTAAGTACAATCCATAATTGAGCCACAAATCGGGTGTTCGGCCAAATTTGTCCAACCCTATATATTTGGGAATCTATTTTGCAGAAATAGACGCATGGTAATGTCATAAAATGCATCTATATTTTCGGGAAATTATATCTCATTTGAAGCATACATTCAAAAGTTTTACGGTAGCGTACGAGGAACATTGATTAAACCGGCCTGCCGTTTGAACTATGCTTGTAACCCTTTCATATAAAGGATTTAATAATTGCTCTATTGTCTAATGGTGTCGCAATCTTCTATTTATTCATGTAACCAGTCAAGGCTTGCTTAATAATAATACAACCTCGTACAAAGCAGTGAAAAACTTAAAAAGTATTAAATTTATCCTGATCACTGCTTACCCAACCTGTCTATCCCAGCTGCTTCCACCAATTGATCAAAGTGTCCTTTTCCAACAGCAAAATTTTCATCAGTTGTTTCTACCAAGTTTTCAATGTAAGTTACCTCTTCAGGAAGAATGTAAGTAGGAGGTAATTGTTCCTTTTTACCAACGAAAAATATTTCTACTATTTCTGGACTTCTCAAGCTATGACCTAGTTGTAGTTTTATCAGATCAGATTGCGTTACCCAACGGCATTTTCCTCTATACTAAAATGTGTAGTTAATATGTAATATTTTAGTGATTCAAATAATAAGGATGAACTTACTTTGCCCATAGTATTTTTGGATTTGTTCTTTGTTGTTGCGTCTACATTCATTTGAAAAACCACGTGCAGTAAATGTGGAACAGTATGTCTCGAAATTAATATCTTTGAAATCCTCAAAATTTTAAGCTCAGTCGGTGTTGCCCCAAATATCTAAATCAAAATATTTTTATTTTTATTAGAAGTGAGGGTATCCATATGTGAGTGGTTAGGATTGAGTACGAAGGTTGTAAAGAAAAGTCGTTTATTTCTCACAAAGTCAATTTATTGGCGACCGTTCGAAGTCATTACTTCATCATCAGGCATACCTACTCAGAAAGTCATGGAGGCAAAGGTGAAAATTATTTAATACAAAATGGATAATTGAAAAATTAAAAAAATCTGAAAAGAAACAAATGGGGAAGTGAGTAATAATTTGACTTACCATGACACATCCATCATAAATAAGCTACGTAATTTAACCATATAAAGGTAAAAGGTCACTCTGAAGATACAGAACAGCTGCGTGTTGGGCACTCCAAAATATGATGATTTAATGCAATTCACCTGTATACCAAGTTGTACTCCTAAGGATTTACGGAAGCCTAAAGTAGAGTCACAAATTTCGAAAAGATTTAATATCTCTGCAACCGTTTAACTTAAAAAAACAATATTTGCTAAATTATTTAAGCACTTCATAAATCTTAATTTGGGGTTGAGTAAGAATTAATTAAAATTTTTTAAGGGGTGGTTTTGGGGTAACCCACCCTTATAACTATTCAGAACTTTTTTGTACACCGGCCGATTTTTAAAATTTTTATTTCATTTTATGCAAAATTTTATGTAAAACTTTTTTTACTGTTTTCATTTTTTAACAAAGTTTCGAGAAAAACGAGAAAAATTAAATCAATGCATTATGATAATGTTAATAAATTTAACAAATAGCAAATTACTTTTAATAAAATCTAATGAAAACTAATATAATAATATTATCTACATAATAAAAATTAAGTAAACTTGACTCAACTTTAGGCTTCAGTAACTCCATAGGGGTACAAATTGGTATAGAGGTAAATTGCGTAAAATCATCATACGCACCTATTGTGTCTCGGTACTTATGTGAAACACCTTGTATTTAAAAATAATATCCGAGAGATTTTATTATATTTCAATGGTTAAAAAACTCAATCTAAACTAGAAGTACCTACTTCAAGTTGGTGGAACCAGAGTTTAAATTATGTGCCAAACCAGTAAAATTTCTTTTTGGAGAAACGAAACACGTTGGCAAAAGTATTGAGACAAGAATATAGGAAATAAAGTTATTAAAATATGGGATTGAACCAGAAGAATTAAACTAATAATAAGTAATGATTAATGAGAAAATTAATGAAAATTATTTTTAAATTTTAAATAAGAGCTGAAAAAGTTGAGAATTCAGCGAGCATGCGGGACAAGTTTTAATGTTTTTAAAATTTCCAGGTTCTCGAAGTCGCGCGGCAACTTTCTGTCTTAACTGCCAAAGTGCTACTACTTTCTGCTCTTAATTCACAAATAGCTACTTGCAGTGCTCTACCTATCCTAGCAACGGGTCCACCTTATTTTAAAACACAGTGCATAACTAATTTTAGCTAAACGAAAGTTGAACCACAAAGTTTGAATGTAAAAAGGTCAACATTCTGAAACAAAACTCGCCTCGGTCGAGACGTCTAATTGCAAAAATATGAAACCTATTTCAACATAGTGAATCACAAAAGTTGCAGTATGCAAAGCAAACGAGAGCAAAACACTGGTCAGTGCCCCCTCCCACATATTATAATTTATTTTTTTTTAATGCTGTTTACCCCCCATGGGCACGGGCCCCGGTGATTTCGCCATCCCTGCTCCTTCCTCTCGTCGGGCCTGGCAGTATGTTGCCTCAATGCAGATGCGTCTTTAGGTTTAAAAAAATCTACCACGAAGAATTGTGAAAGTTTAGGTACTTATTTTAAATATTAAATTATAAAAAAGTAATGTAAATAAACAATATACTTCCGTAATTTCTTTTGTAGCCTGTTTCTCCCAAGAACTTCCAACTTCTTTAGTGCAAGGAAACCAGTGGTCGTTAGTATCAGCCATTAACAACATTGTGTTGTCTGCGTTGCAATATACTGCCACTGAAATTACATTGCAAAGGTCGTTTTCGGACTTAAACATTATTGATTTTTAGGACGCTTCAAATTGGTGTTATAAAAAAATATTTCTTAGGTGTAAGTCACCTACATCTTATAATTAAAAAATATGTCAATGCTTGAAATATGAAATTCTGTCAAGAAAAACAAGCACAAAACACAAATACGAAAAGAGTTTTGTGTTATGGTGGTGAATAGAAAAAGTATAGATTCCCCAACCAACGAAGTAGAACGCTACATCCATGGAGGCTGCAGGGAGAGGAGTCGCTACTCGTGTACCGAAGTGGTATCGGTATCATTTGCGCCATTTGGTTTTCGAGCATATATATTTCAAAGAGTCCGCATTCAACAGAGTTTGTTTGGGTTAAGAGGGGAAATAGGTAGACACTATTTCCAGTGTCGCATCATTTTTACGTATTTTGCAATTAATATAAATAATAAATTTGATACATACCTTTAAAATTCTTTAAATTATGCACAAATTTTATAAACTTGCATTGTTTAAGTATGTATCTAGTAATAGTAAATTATTATTTATTATTATTATTATTATTATTATTATTATTATTATTATTATTATTATTATTATGTGTGTTGGACCAATCAGAATTTTTTAATTCAAACATCATAAAGTGTATAACGGAAAAATGAAGGTTGAAATAAAAGACAATAAAAAAGATAAAAAGCTTATATTTAAAAATCAAAAATGTAAATAAATAGTAGGTATATTATACAAATATTTATGATATCTATTAACACAAGTGTACGAGAATTATTATAAAAGAATTTTTTTCAATAATTTATTAAATATAAAAATATTGTTCATAAACAATGTTCAATAGATATATTACAAACAGAAATCAAGCTAATACTTAGGTACTTAGGTACATTTGCACTATCAGTCGTTAAAAAATAAGTGAAGCTTAATTTTGATTGGAAAACTGTTTTAAGCTTCGATTATTTCTTAATGACTAGGAGTACAAAAAAAAAATGGTAAAATTACTTATTTATTGAAAAACTTACCTTAGGCTTTGCTTATTTCTTAACGATTAACAGTCTACTTAATTAAAGAACATAGGTATATTTAATAAAAAATAATTATTGTCAATTTTTGTGGTTTATAAAAAATATAGGTAGTAATAGGTAAGTATTTGAAAATAAAATTTGTTGTATTAAAAAGTACTTAGTTACTTACATGTTTTCTAATTATGAATTTTCTTTTTCTTCCTCCGCATCCAGTTTTTGACATATACATATATCCAGAAAAATGATTGGAATAAAAAACATCACTATTTGAAATGTTTTCTGGAGTAAGTTTCAATATGTTTCACCAAATGCGTTTTTCGGCAGGATTAGTTGGAAACCTACAAAAAAACAAAAATTATTGATTTAACATCTTCAACATTATCACAATAAAATGACTTAAAAACGAAAAGCTTGTTTATATTGAAAAATTATAATTAACTTTTTAGTAGAGTCCAAAATCTAAAACAATATTCCTCATACATAATACAAGTTCTAAATTCACTAAATTTACCATTTATTTTAAATTCATGTTTAACGGCCTTTTGCATAAAATATAGGTTTCTTTTAAAAAAATGGTAGAGGCGCTAATTGTTACTTACTTGTGAAATGACATTGACGATGCTTTTTCGTATTTCTATTTAAAACTCTCACCATTGTTAAAATTTGTATCACTAAAGTAATGAAATACAAAAAATAACTTATAAACTACAAAAATAAGCTAGAAATTAATAAAAATTCAAAATCAAATGACAGTTCTGACAATTTCGAACGATTTGACACGCTAAGCAAAACGAAACAGACTAATGAAAATGCTGGACACTATTTTTTCCCCCTGTACCAAAATAAAGTCCATTTGGACGATGGCTCTAGTAATATATGCTCTTAGAGCATATAAGACCATAGATAAATTAACATGTAAGATAAATCTGTTACATGCACGGCACTGGTAAGAAGTTTTAGTTCCCCAGCATACTATTTGGAGCTACCATCGCACATTACACAATTGGCTGACTGTCTTGACAGTTAAAGGCAGCAGAGAAGGAGAAGAAAATAAAAAGAAGAGTGTAGTTTTCCCGCGGTTCATTCAAATGTATTTTATTATTTATTTGCATTTTTTGGAATTCATTACTCAAAAAAAACTAATATTTAAATTAAAATATTGTATTTAACATAAATATTAGTTTTTTTAAAGTAATAAAACAAAAAAAAAATATAAATAAAGAAATATTTATACTAAAATACTTGAAACACAGGTATAGTTTAATCATTTAATACAAGTAAGGTGCATTTAAACGTTTTTCTACACCCGTATTATAATAATGCACTTATATGCCCATAATCCGTTTCATAATGATACCCATTATGATACAGATTTTTCATTACGATACAGATTTTTAATCAATAGAAACCTACAATTTTTCAATCAAGCATGCTGTTTGACGTTTGTCCTAGGTTCCTATGTAATTATTTTAGTTGTCAAAACGTATTAAATTTTCGTAGGTAGCTAAACTTCGATAATTATAATATTAAAATGTCTGATATTAGCGATATAGAAGACTCCTCCACACATATCGGAGAAAGCAGAAAATACAGTACAAAATATTTTACCGCAAAAATCTAGGGAAATACCAATACCTGAAGTAATACCATTAATTACAATTTTGTAGAATTTTTTATAGAAATACGAGTAATTACTGTTATTGTGTTCAATACCAATATAAATATAATATTTATAGGTCTTGATTATTTATCGGGTGTAGAAAAAATAGCGTATGCAACTCTCATGTAATGGTTATTAAAACACTCGCATAAACCATACGAAACTCGCCTTTGGCTCGTTTCGTATCCCGGTTAATGCTCGTGTATTAATAACCATCATTACATGATCGTTGCATAATATACTATTATTACATACATAACATGTTCTCAACATTAAATAACAATAATTGTAAGAGAAATTAATAGTAGTCTCCTCCCATTCTTGGAAAATGGACCAGGGCGTTTTCTATAAAAACAAAAAAAAGTGTATTGAACAATTTGTCTTATCAAAATGTTGCCAATTCTTAAAAGTACAAGTTAATTTTAATTAGTCTAAAATTAGTATATAAAAAGTTATTTCTGATAGTGCAATAGTTAATTTGAATTTTATTTTAACTTTTTATTTTTGACAGACATCAAAAGGATATCCTTTAAATTCTGTAATTCAATCCAAGAGGAGGAAAAATTGAAACTTCTTAACTATTAATTATATTGAAATTTATAAAAATAGAAGTTAATTCAATCAAATTATTTAGTATAGGTTTATGGCAATTTAGAAAAATATAGCTTAATTTAATTGATTTCTTTAACAAGCAAAATGGTTATAAATAAAAAATTAAGAATTTGTTAGTACTTGCCAACTTTATCCAGTAAATGAAGAGCAGCAACACCGAGGTTTGAAAAAAATCTTTTCGAGAATTTGCTTTTCTTTACTGTTGCCCGCATCCCACCACAAGGAGGTAAAGTAGTGGACTAACACACTGAGGATTCTTTTTTATTTTATTTTTTCTGAAAAAGATCACAGCTGACAAACAGTACGATCTCTATATAATATACATATAAAATTGGTACAGCATTTACAATTAGTCGTTTACGTTTTATGGCAATTTTGCTAAAAGACTCTGGCAAAAAATAATCTCCACAAAGATAGCCATTTTTATTATCAAAAGTTAAATTTAAATTCTTAAACCAGTACGCTCGAATTTTAACATCAGAAGGAAAATAAAAAAAGGTTTTATTTGAATAACCAGCTTGCTGAATATTAGAATACTTATTTAAACAATTAGGAGCTGAACAAGCATACTTAGCTTTACCATTCGATACTTTATCCGGGTCAGACATGTTTTGATATTGTTACAAATATATTAAAAATCTGATGTGTCCAACACATGACTTTCCTATCTAGTTATTATAGGCTTTTTCCGGTTATTTTGTACAACCTATTGCAGCAACTCTATAAATATTTAGAGGATAAACTAAAACTAAATATATACATTTTCCCATACATCTACCTCGAAACATTTTTCTATAGATGTTCATTGAAAACGAAAATACTGAAAAATTTAAATTTAGCACTCTTCCTCCAATTTTTCCATTACGGTCCATTTTAGAAAAATCATATATAAACAAAACTTATAGAGATCGATATCGCACCCAACTTTTAGTTTAACAATTTTCATAAAAATCAGAATTTTGCACATTTTGTCAAATTTCTCGAATACGTACCATTTCAGGAAATTTTGACATAAAACAAAAATTATAGATAATAATATTAGAAGTAACTTTTATTTGAACAATTTTCTTCTCCAAACATAAATAAGAGACATATATTTCATAAAATATAAAAACGGCCTCCCATAAAGTACCCCCCAAATGTTCCGACTTTGTCCAAAATTTAATAATTTTATCCGTTTTTGAGTTTTCTTCAAAATTCGAAATTTACACATTTTCTCAAATATCTCGAATACGGTCAATTTTAGAGAAATTATGTATAAAATAAAAATTATAGAGAATTATATTACAAACAACTTTTATTTAAACAATTTTTATAAAAAAAATATTTTTTTTTCATTTTGTTAAATTTCTCGAATACGGACCATTTTAGGAAAATTTTGTATAAAACAATAATTATAGATAATAACATTCGAAGTAACTTTTATTTGAAGTATTTTCTTCTCCAAACGTAAATAACAGATATATTCCATAAAATATAAAAATGACCACCCATAAAGTACCCCATTAGATGTTCCGACTCTGCCCAAAATCTAATATGTTCAGTGGACGCAGAAATAAAGCCTAAGTTTAAAATTTAGTGTTTTTATGTGTATCGGTTCATGAGTTATGGTGGATACAGACACACATACATCATCCCGAAAATAGTCAAAACGGATTCAGGGGCCCCCAAAACGTAAAAATCCGTCGAAAACTCGAGGTCGAAAAAAATCATGATTCCTATACTTTCCTTATCTGTATACAGTTAGGAAAGTAAAAATTAAAAATACGCTTCAAAAGTTTATAAAAGAGACACCTCGTCCAAATTGTCTTTGGAAGCCACAAAAAAGATCTTTTTAAAAACGAAAACAAGAC